GTCCCTGCTTGCACGTGCTCCGTCAGCTGACGTGGCAGCGCGTGCACTGTATTTCAATGAAAATGTTGGCCCGTCCTCCATCATTCATCGCCCCTCCCGCACGTGCTCGGCCAGACAGGCCAAGAAAATGTGACGACACACAAAGCCCTGCAAACTACTGCTCCGACGTTTCATCAGATAGCCAGTCAATGGAGTCAAAGCCCCAAGGCTGTTCAGCGATCAACCCGACGAATCCGCAAGCCAAGACTTGCGTGTCGTGACAACGCTCTGGCAACCCTGGACGCTGCCATTGGGACCCAAGACACCTGTCCCCCCAAGACAGTGCCTAAACAGCCCCCAAGCCGGTCCAAGGAAGCCCTGCGACATCTCATAACCGGCCCACAACGGTCGCATTCCTTCTCCGACAGCGAGTCGCCCGCAAAGCCCGACGTGTCATCACAGCGCCGTGGTCCTAGCGCATATAGACATGTACACACACACGTAGGTATCGAGAGAGTGGAACACATACATATAAATATATATAGAGAGAGAAGAAGAAGAAAAACAAACGAAAGTGATAAACAACTATGTAGCGGAACGGAGACATACGTACGTGATGCAGGAGCAACAGCAGCGAGGGAAGGAGCAGGAGCAGAGGAGGGGGCGGCCGTTCAGCGTCACGTCGAGTGAAAACTGCACATGCCAGCTAGAGCTGCAACTTGCGCCGATGAACTAAAGCAGAAGCGTTATGCCATGAGCCTGCAGACTCGCTCCTCGGGGGGCAGTAGAACACACTACCCCAACCCTCCCCGCCCACTCCTTCCCCTCCCTTCCCATCCTCACTGGGCCACTCCCCGTCATCCTCCTCCTCCTCCTCCTCCTCTCCTCCTCTCCTCCTCCTCCTCCTCCTCTCCTCCTCCTCCTCCTCCTCCTCCTCCTCCTCCTCCTCCTCCCTCCTCCCTCCCCTCCTCCTCCTCCTCCTCCTCTCCTCCTCCTCCTCCTCCTCCTCTCCTCCTCCTCCTCTCCTCCTCCTCCTACTCCTCCTCCTACTCCTACTCCTATCCTTATTCCTTATTAGAATATACTCCTACTCCCCCCTCAGGCCGGCAGATAGGGGCCGCATCCGGGTGGTCCCATCCTAACCTGTAAAAAACAATACAAAATCAACATTTTTCTTATTTTTTCCTCTCGACATGGACGTCCTGTCGTCCACGGCGATAATCCATTGCAAAAAATACCACAAAGAGCACACGCGCGCGTTCATGTCAGAATCCTACCGAACACCGTGTGTTTGCAAGCATTTCAACATAAAAACATCAAAAACCCAATGCTTTTTCACAAAAATTCTACAAATTTCCTGCCCGGGCTCTCTTGCTGAAATCATAGGAAAACCATAGGAATCTTAAGAATTCGGTCAAATCCAGCGATTTCACGTCATCGCGCGGTGCACTCGCGATGCTCTGTCATGCACCCAGGCCGCGAATCCTGTGCAAAAAATACCACGCGGGCGACATGCGCGCGCGTCGCCGCGAGCGCATGCTCAAATCCTTCTAGAGTCGTCGCCGTCATTGGCACCGTCGCATGGACGTCCTGTCGTCCACGTCGCAAAATGCATAGCAGGAATGGGACGCGGCGCACACCCCGCGCCCGCCCATCCAATCCGTCCCATTCTAATCTGCAAAAGACAATACACAGTTTTTGTTTTTCTTGTCAACATGGTCGTGCTGTCGTCACGTCGCAAAATGCGTGGCAGGAATGGGACGCGGCGCACACCCCGCGCGAAGGGGTGACATGTCGCTCTCGCCTCGGCGCCGCGCACCAACGTTTTTCCTCTCAGCATGGACGTCCTGTCGTCCACGTCGCAAAATGCTTGGCAGGAATGGGATGCGGCGCACACCCCGCGCCCGCCCATCCAAACCCCCCCTTTATAAAAAAAACAATACAAGTTGGGGCCTTCTGGCTTCCTGCGGTGTACCGGGCCATTCTCGACTCGTCTGGCAATGCGTGCGCGGCATTCAACACGCGCTCGCCAGTTCCCGTCGGCAACCGCCATCGCGGCCGCATCAGCTGTACCAAACCGGCTGGCCGGTGTGACTTCGGCCCCCAGTTGTGCCAGCTTTGCTTCTTATGTTGTGGGAGGGCGGGTGGGACTGGGCATGCCATGCTTGACTCGCTCGAGCTGGCTAGCTTGACTCCTATCCTTATTCCTTATTAGAATATACTCCTACTCCCCCCTCAGGCCGGCAGATAGGGGCCGCATCCGGGTGGTCCCATCCTAACCTGTAAAAAACAATACAAAATCAACATTTTTCTTATTTTTTCCTCTCGACATGGACGTCCTGTCGTCCACGGCGATAATCCATTGCAAAAAATACCACAAAGAGCACACGCGCGCGTTCATGTCAGAATCCTACCGAACACCGTGTGTTTGCAAGCATTTCAACATAAAAACATCAAAAACCCAATGCTTTTTCACAAAAATTGTACAAATTTCCCGCCCGGGCTCTCTTGCTGAAATCATAGGAAAACCATAGGAATCTTAAGAATTCGGTCAAATCCAGCGATTTCACGTCATCGCGCGGTGCACTCGCGATGCTCTGTCATGCACCCAGGCCGCGAATCCTGTGCAAAAAATACCACAAAGAGCACACTCGCGCGTTCATGTCAGAATCCTACCGAACACCGTGTGTTTGCAAGCATTTCAACATAAAAACATCAAAAACCCAATGCTTTTTCACAAAAATGCTTTGGGGTGTCCTGTCAGACCGTCGGGCTTCCTCCGGCCACCTCTGGCTTCCTGCGGTGTACCGGGCCATTCTCGACTCGTCTGGCAATGCGTGCGCGGCATTCAACACGCGCTCGCCAGTTCCCGTCGGCAACCGCCATCGCGGCCGCATCAGCTGTACCAAACCGGCTGGCCGGTGTGACTTCGGCCCCCAGTTGTGCCAGCTTTGCTTCTTATGTTGTGGGAGGGCGGGTGGGACTGGGCATGCCATGCTTGACTCGCTCGAGCTGGCTAGCTTGAGTCCTACTCTTACTCCTACTCCTACTCCTACTCTTCCTACTCCTCTTCTTCCTCCTCCTCCTCCTTTTCCTCCTCCTCTTCCTCCTCCTCCCCGTGCTCCTCCTCCTCCTCGTCGTCCTCCTCCTCCTCGTCCTCCTCCTCCCCGTGTTCCTGCTCCTCCTCCTCCCCCTATCCTCTTCCTTCTTCCCGGTCCTCTATCATTGCAACCATGATAAAAATCCTCCCCCCGCTCTTCCCTCTCCCGCATTGTGTTTGGAATACTGTATATGCACGGTGGGGTGCCCCATGCGGTTTTAGATGATTACTGTGTGTTGGCGTGCCTTGCAAACGCATGTTTGTGCTTGCCTTGCGTTGTGCCCTTGTTTTCGCAGACGGTCGGTGGAGTTCTGACGGGAACAAGTGGCACGCGTGCCCTGGCTTTTGCACCCAGGAGCTGCGAGGGACAAGAAACTTTCGCCTCCTTCCTCTAGGAGTTTCCTTCCTTGGCCGGGGGGGGGAACGGTGAACGACGAACGAAAGACGAACGAGAATAAAGAGGTCCGAACTCTAGAACACAATTGCGCAAGAGTATAAACGTGTCCGAACTCTAGGACACAGAGGGCAAGCCCAGGAGTTCAGGGGGGCCAGGGGAAAGGACGAACGACTGGGCCAGGGAGGCCAGGGGGGAGAGCGAGGGGCGCTGGGCCCAGGGCAAGGGCAGCGGGGAGGGCTGGGTCCAGGGCCAGGCCAAGGGACCAGGGAGGCCGGGGCTGAGATGCCGCCGCTGGCGGCTCCTGGTGGTGTTTACCTCCGCGCCGCCCCACTGATGCAGACGCATGTGGTCTTCGAACTCGCAGGCTGTGCGATGCGCCACGGCGCGCACGCCCAGCTCGCTCATGCCCGTCGGGACCCCGTGGAGCAAACGGTTGATCCGGTCGGCGTCGCGCCGCCCCTCGCCGACTGGGCTGGGGCGCTGCACGATGTCCGACGCCTGCACTTCAACGTGCGTACCCTCCAGGCTTATCCCAATGATCACCAGCGCGTCGCTGGATGGCCCGCGTGTCTTGACGCCCTCGCGCCACTTTCGGGCCGGGCGGACCTCGGCCGTCGCTGCGCGGGCGCGGGCGGCGACGCCGCCCGGCATGCGGGGGGGGGGGGGCCATTCCGCGCGGGCGACCGCCGCGGCCCTCGGCCTCCGCTTCGGCGCCCAGCGGGGCCTTCCCAAAGGTGACCCCTCGCGGGGCCACCGACGGCGCCACCGCCGCTGGGGGTGCGAACTGGAAAGCGGACACCGCCGCGGTCGCCCCCAACCCTATGGGATGCCCAGTCCTTCGCCGGCCATGGGCAAGTTCCCGCCCCCGTAAACGCTTCTGCAGGCCGCCGGATAAGCCCGGGCGGATCGCCGCCTCCACCCGCAGGGCGGCGCCGCTGCCGTCGCCCAGGCGCTCCCCGCACACGGGGGCGCCATGGAAATTCCCACGGGCCACCCGGCGGCACGTTGGCATGCTGCAGTTGCGCCCCAGCAGCGTCGAACGGCACTTCTGTGCGCGATGGGCGCACAGGCAGATCTGCGCCATCTCCCTGGCCCGCGGCACGGGCACGTCGGACGCCGCTGCATCCTCCACCAGCAGAACCGCGGGTTCCATGAGCCCTCGGTCCGAGCACCCCTCCGGCTGTAGCGGGCGAGCCCCGCTCGCCAGCTGTGCGCCTACCCGCGCCGCCCGGCACGGGCGCCCCCCCGCTTCGTTCTCGCTCTCCGAGTCCGGGGCCAACGGCCGACTTCCCGCAGCGTCGTCGATGCAACGAGGCTCGGGACGGAGGCAGCACATCCACTTAAGCATTGATCAACCCAACCCAGGGAGCAGCCACCAAACCAGGGCACCCACTTTGCGCAGCCACACGGCCATGGCGCGACGGGGCGTCGCTGCCCCGTGCTCTCCGAGATCCACGTTCTGCGCGCGGTCGATGGCTGCGCGCTGGTCAACGCGCATCGGGCGCGCTGCCATGCACCCCACCGTCCGACAGAGGTGCACCTGGCCAGTAGCTTCCAAATTAGCCCCCCAGGTACGGCTCGACAAAGCCCCCGCCGCACCCACCGCCGCCCTGAAATTGCAGGACACTCGGACTACCTGCCCGCGCTTGCGCAACAGCAGGTGGTCCGGAGCTCGGTTAGCGCTCCGTCCGCGGACCCGCTCCGCGTAGCAAGCGGTCTCGGCATCCCCGCCCACTCCCCGCCCACGGAACCGCACTCACTGAAGCACGGGCGGGGGCGGCGGGAGGGCCGCCTCCGGCCCCGCGGGCCGGAAGCGGCAGCACGCCGCAAGGTGTCCTAGCGCCCGGGCTGTCCTGGCATCATTAGCTCGGGGACAGCGGCACCATCACCGCGTCGACGCAGTAGGCGGCGGCACCCAGCACGAACGCGAACATGGCCATCATCACGCACAGCACGGCTGCGCCCCACCAATAGCCCAGAAAGTTCACGCCCAGGCTGTCCACCGCAGCTCCTACCCACCCACCGCTCTGCCGGAGCGCGCCGACGCGCTCACGCGCACTTAGCCAGATCCCCAACCCGCCGACCTCGAAGGCCCAAGCCGTGAACCCAAAGTCGCGCGGGCGCGGGCTCACCAGGCCCGGCCGAGGGCGGGCGGCGGGGTGGGCGATCGCCGCTTCCCAAGCCCTGCGCTCACCTTCGCGACTGGCGGCTTGGCTCCAGGCCCCCGGTGCCCCTCGCCCTGAGGGCTGGGAATTGCGCCGGTAGGGGGGTAGGCCCTGGTACCCGCCATACAGGCTCGGTCGCCGACGACGCGGGGCCCACGCCATTCAGCCCTCGACCGAACGGCCACCATCCGTGGGCCCGGCTCGTCTGCATCCCGCCGATGAGGATCGCTGCAGCGTGCACCACGAGCCCCCATCGCCGCGCGCCCCCCTCCCCCTTGCGCGCGAGCGTGGTTTCGGACGGACACCAGAGTGTCCCAATAGACTATACAATAGTCGAGGCGGAGAGGGCACTGGGCGGAGGTTCCACTCTGCCTCTGGGGAACGCTGGGGTGAGGAGGGGGCGCGGTGTGGCGCGGAATGAATTGATCGGGGCGGAGGTAGCACTGGGCGGATGTCCAACTGGACCGCTGGTGTTAGGGAGGGGTGGGGGAGAGGGGGGGGGGCGGGCGGAGCGGAGGGGGCACTGGGCGGATGTTCCACTGGACCGCTGGAGCTGGGCAGGGGTGGGAGAGGTGCGGAAGGGGGGGGGGCGGGCGCGGCGCGACGCGGAACAAAATACTCAGGGCGGAGGGGGCACTGGGCGGAGGTTCCACTGGGCCACTGGGGAACGCTGGAGAGCGGTAGGAGGAGGGCGGGACGGGCAAGAGGAGGGCGGAGGACGGGCGGGAGGGAGGTGGGGAGGGGGAGCGGACGCGGTGCGACGCGGAATGAAATACTCGGGGCGGAGGGGGCACTGGGCGGAGGTTCCACTGGGCCACTGGGGAACGCTGGGGAGGGCTAGGAGGGGGGCGAGCCGGGCAAGGGGAGGGCGGAGGACGGGCGGGAGGGGGGCGGGGAGGGGGAGCGGGCGCGGTGCGACGCGGAACAAAATACTCAGGGCGGAGGGGGCACTGGGCGGAGGTTCCACTGGGCCACTGGGGAACGCTGGGGAGGGGTAGGCGTGGAACGGTGCGGGCAAGGGGAGGGCGGAGGACGGATGGGAGGGGGCGGGGAGGGGGGCGGGCGCGGTGCGACGCGGAATAAAATGGTCGGGGCGGAGGAGGCACTGGGCAGAATCACTGGGGAACGCTGGGGTGTTTTGGGGGGGCGGGGCAGGAGGGGGTGCGGTGCGACGAGGAATGAAGTGGTCTGAGCTCTAGACACCCTGTGCAAGAGAATTACAAACTTCCTCGCCCTCCCCTCCTCCACTTTAGCACCACGATCCGTCGCACGTGTCCTCCTCCTCCTCCTCCTCCTCCTCCTCCTCCTCCTCCTCCTCCTCCTCCGCCTCCTCCTCCTCCTCGTTCTGCTCCCCCTCCTCGTTCTCCTCCGCCCCTCTTCCTCCTCCCCCCTTTTTCAGCTGCTCCGCTTTGGGCGAGCGTGCTCTTCACGCCCCCCGTGCCTGGAGCAGCCGCGCACACAGAGACCACCGTCCCGGCGAGCGGCCCGCCTTTGAACGAGCCCACCGGGACAACGGCGAGGCGCCTGCTACGCCGCGCAACGGCGGCAGCCAGGGCGGCCAAGATTGGGTCAGTGTTAGCTGCCCGTCGCTGACTCCGCTGCTTGTTTCGAGGATTGCACTGGGCGCCTCAGTGTTGAGTGTTTAGTGCGGAGGCGATTCGTGGGGGTGGGGGGGGAAAGAAGCGTGCACATTTCGTTCCCCTTTGGGGTCCCAGAAGGCCCCCAAGGTGGACCTTTCTTCACCCCCCCAGAGATCGCCCCCCAATTACAAACGCCCGAAGAAAAGAGCTCACACCTCCTCCGGGCAGCGGCCGTCAAATTGTCGGTCAGTCTGCCACCTGCCGCGAGGCACGACTTGG